TATTCAACTGATTCTTGGCCATTATCTGTAGCTGTTGGTGATTTTAACAACGACGCCCATCTGGATATCGTCGTCGCTAATGAATATGGCAATACTGTAAGCATCCTTCTCGGACATGGCGATAGCTTCTTTACAAATCAAACGACATACTCAACTGGTTCTTACCCACTCTCTGTAACTGTTGGTGACTTTAACAGCGACACCCATCTGGATATCGTCGTCGCTAATGATGGTGACAATACTGTTAGTGTACTTCTCGGATATGGTGATGGCTCTTTCGCAAATCAAACGAAATATTCAACTGGCTCTGGACCAAGTTCTGTAGCTGTTGGTGATTTTAACAACGACACCCATCTGGATATCGTCGTTGCTAATTTTGGTGAGAACACTATAAGTGTACTTCTCGGATATGGAAATGGCTCTTTCGCGAATCAAACGAAATATTCAACTGGCTCTAGCCCAATAGCTCTAGCCGTTGGTGATTTTAATAATGACAACCAACTGGATATCGTCGTTGTTAATCGGGATGACAACACTGTAAGTGTCCTTCTCGGATATGGCGATGGTTCTTTTGCAAATCAAACGACATATTCAACTGGCTCTACACCATGGTCTGTAGCTGTTGGTGATTTTAACAACGACACCCAACTGGATATCGTCGTTGCTAATTTTGGTGGCAACACTGTAAGTGTACTTCTAGGATATAGCAATGGCTCTTTTGCAAATCAAACGACATATTCAACTGGCTCTGACCCAGTTGCTGTCGCTGTTGGTGACTTTAACAACGACACGCGACCGGATATTATCGTCGCTAATTTCAATGGCAATACTGTAGGTGTACTACTTCGATATGACAGAGGGGCTCTGAAAGACAAAATCACATTTGCGCCTGCCGATGGTTCTCGTTTGCGAAACTTTGCCCTTTTTGATTTCAATAACGATAGCCTATTGGATATCGTTGTTGTCAATTATGGTACTAATAACATAGGTGTCCTTCTTGGATCTGGGAATGGCACTTTTGGAAATCAAATGGTGCTCTCAACAGGCTTAAATTCTCATCCTTACTCCATCACTATCCATGATTTTAATAGAGACGATCAAGCGGACATTGCCGTGGTCAATTATGGTACTAAAAAGCTTGTTACGTTTCTGGGAAGTGGAAATGGAACATTTAAAAATCAAGGACGTTACGGTGTAGATTTTGATTTTGCTCCACTGATGATTGGTGCTGGTAGTTTCAACAAAGATGGGCGTTCAGAAATTTTCGTTGCATATGATGACATCGA